AAATAAAAAAAATCTCATTCAGTACAAGTAATTTTCTGATCTTAGTTCAGGTACAATTCAATACATGATAATGAAAAATTTGTTTGCAAAAAGATTCCCAAAATTGAATTCAGATCATTTAACAACATGTTGGTTTTCTTTTCATTGTGATTTCATTGTCATATCATGACATCTCTGAATATGTCATGTAACCTCATTTCAACCCATCCACTTAATTTATTATGTTTATTTATTATAACAATGATGTAATCTTTTAATCAATTTAAAAAAATTTTTTCTTTGATATGTATGTATTGTGCTTTTTATTTTTTTTGTTTATTTAAAATTTTCATTAATTACCTTGAAATTTTTTTCTTTCATTCTATGATACATGGTTTGAAAAAAATCATATTTAAAAAAATTTCTCCATTAAGTTTTTTTTTAAAAATATCTGGATGGTATCACCTACATTCTGAAAGAACATAACATTTTTTTTTTTTGTCAATAAATAAAATGAAAGAAATTAGTATAAAAATAAATATGTTGCTTTACCTTAAAATATCTGGTTGCGACTATAGTATATCTACCATCCATTTTCTACTCCAGTCTTTATCAGATGTATAACAATCTGGGGCATTTTTTTTTTCCTCATTTCCTTATAAGCAAGATAATTTTTTAACACATATTAAATACATTTTACAGATAAATTAAAAAATCTTTAGTAAGGAAATTTCTGAAATTTAAACAGGGTCCATAAAAAACAAGATGGTGATTAATGTTGAAAATTTTTGATTTTTTTTTTTAATTTATGGGAAGCAAAAAATATTTATTTATTTTTTTTCCACAGGCAAAGTGAAAAAAAAAACCATTAGAATAAAAAATGGTTGCATCATTTAATGGGTTCCATTATATCAGAACAGTTGCCATGAAAATACTGAACCCTTTATTTAATCTATAAACCTTTTAATTTTTCTTTTCAGGAGAAAAAAAACTTAGACAAGATATAGAAATTAGAAGACACAATTTTTCTCAAAATATTTGTATTAACAACAATTAAGATTTTTTTTTATAACATGTAAATAGTGTATATTTTTCTTTCATAAAAAATGTTCAAATTCATATCTCAAAAAATCAATCATAGTTAAATACTTTTTTTAACAAGTTTGAAATTGAAGACTGATTAGTTAAATTTTATATATCCCCTCATATATTTGAATGTTTTTTCATCAGTGCAAACACAAGTTCAAACATTTTTCAAACAAAAACCATTATTTTCTTTCTTCATGAATATATTGTCACTGATAAACTATTTGTGCTGAAGATTTGAAAAAAAAAAAAATCAAAAAAAGGTAACAATCAGTTCATCTGAATTATTTTTATCTAAACTAAAAAAGTTGAACATTCAAAATGAGGTTAAATTCATCACCAGTTTTCTATTCTTGTTTAAAATTTCAAAAATAATTAAAAAAAAAAAAAATTAAAAATTTATCTGAATAATATTATATATAAAATAATTTGAATTTTTCAATTAAAAAAATTTTTTTTTTTTTTCATTCATTTTAGAAAAAAATTTTAAAATTTAAAATTTTATTTTTTTTCAATTTTTTTTATTGTCATTCTTTTGGCCATTTTTCCTCTTTTTAAATTTGGCCAATTTTCACCTTGACCTTTTTAAAAAAAATTCTGAAAAAATTTCATTTTCACCTTTTAAAATTTTTATTTAATTTCTCATTTTTGATTTTTTTTTTTCCTCTTCTCTTTAATTTTTGTCTTTTGATTTTCATTCTCTTTCTTTTTTCTCTGTTTATTTAAAAGAAGTTTTCTTGTTTTTTTTTTCTCCTTTTTTTTTTTTATTTCTTTTATTTTCCTTCTCATTCAGTTCTCAAAACATCTCCTTTATTTAATTATTTTATTCTCTTTAATGTTTTCTTTTTTTTTCATTTTTTTTTTCTTTTTTAAAATTTTTTTTTTTTTTTTCTTCTTCTTTCTCTTTTCTTTTTCTCTCTTTTTTTTTTCTTTTTTTCCTCTCTCTTTTTCTGTTTTCTGTCTTTTCTTTCTTTTTTTTTTTCTTTCTTTTTTTTTTTTTTTTTTCTTTTTTTCTTTTTTTTTTTTTTTTTTTTTTTCATTTTCTCTTTTTTTTTTTTTTTTTTTTTTTTTTTTTATCTTTTTTTTAAAATTTTTTTTTCCTTTTCTCTTTTTTTCTTTTTTTTCTTTTCCTTCTTTTTCTCTCTCTTTTCTTTTTTTCTCTCTTTTTCCTTTCTCTGTTTCTCTCTTTTTCTTTTTCTCTCTTTCTCTTTTTTTTTTTCTCTTTTTTTCTTTTTTCTCTTTCTCTTTTTTCTTTTTTTTTTTTTTCTCTCTTTTTTTCTCTTTTTTTTTTCCTTTTCTCTTTTTTCTCTTTTCCTTTTCTCTCTTTTTCTCTTTTTCCTTTTCTCTTTTCTCTTTTTTTTTTTTTTCTCTTTTTTTTTTTTTCTCTTTTCTCTCTTTTTTCTTTTTTCTCTTTTCCTCTCTTTTTTCTTTTTCTCTTTTTCTTCTCTCTTTTTTCTCTCTTTCTTTTTCTCTTTTTCTCTTTTTCCTTTTTCTCTTTTCTTTTTTTCCTTTTCTCTTTTTCTCTTTTTTCCTTTTCTTTCTTTTTTTTTTTCTCTTTTTCTTTTTTTTTCTCTTTTTCTTTTTTTTCTTTTTTCTCTTTTTCTCTTTTTCTTTTTTTCTTTTTTCTCTTTTTCCTTTTCTCTTTTTTTTCTCTTTTCTTTTTTCTCTTTTTCTCTCTTTTCCTTTTCTCTCTTCTTTTTTCTCTCTTTTTCCTTCTTTTTCTTTTTTTTTCTTTTTTTTCTTTTCCTTTTTTCTCTTTTTTCTTTCTCTTTTTCTCTTTTTTTCTCTTTTCTCTTTTTTCTTTTTTCTCTCTTTTCCTTTTCTCTCTTTTCTCTTTTCTTTTTTTCTCTTTTCCTCTTTTTTTTCTCTCTTTTCTCTCTTTTTTTTCTCTTTTTTCTCTCTTTTCTCTCTTTTCTCTCTTTTTCTCTCTTTCTCTTTTTTTTTTCTCTCTTTTTCCTCTTTTTCTCTCTTTTTCCTTTTCTCTCTTTTTCTCTCTTTTTCCTTTTCTCTCTTTTTCTCTCTTTTTCCTTTTCTCTCTTTTTCTCTCTTTTTCCTTTTCTCTCTTTTTCTCTCTTTTTCCTTTTCTCTCTTTTTCTCTCTTTTTCCTTTTCTCTCTTTTTCTCTCTTTTTCCTTTTCTCTCTTTTTCTCTCTTTTTCCTTTTCTCTCTTTTTCTCTCTTTTTCTCTCTCTTTTTCTCTTTTTTTCTCTTTTTCTCTCTTTTTCTTTTCTCTTTTTTCTTTTTTTTTTCTTTTTCTTTTTTTTTTTCTTTTTCTCTTTTTCCTTTTCTCTCTTTCCTCTTTTTTTTCTTTTTTTTCTCTCTTTTTCTCTTTTCTCTCTTTTCTCTTTCTTTTCCTTTTCTCTTTTTTTTTTTCCTTTTCTCTCTTTTCTCTTTTTTTTCTCTTTTTCTTTTTTCTCTTTTTTTCTCTTTTTTCCTTTTTCTCTCTTTTCTCTTTTTTCCTTTTTTTTTTTTTCTCTCTTTTTCCTTTTCCTTTTTCTCTTTTTTTTCCTTTTTCTCTTTTTTTCTTTTTTCTTTTCTTTTCTTTTTCTTTTTTTCTTTTTCTCTCTTTTTTTTCTCTTTTTTCTCTCTTTTTCTTTTCTTTTCTTTTCCTTTTCTCTTTCTTTTTTCTCTTTTTTTTCCTTCTTCTTTTTTTTTTCTTTTCTTTTCCTTTTTTTTCTTTTTCTCTTTTTTTTTTCTCTTTTTTCTCTTTTTCTCTTTTTCTCTTTTTTTCTTTCTCTCTTTTTCTTTTTTCTTTTTCTCTTTTCTTTTTTTTTTTTTTTTTCTTTTCTCTCTTTTCCTTTTTCTCTCTTTTTCTCTTTTTTCTCTTTTTCTCTCTTTTCTCTCTTTTTCTCTTTTCTCTCTTTTTCCTTTTTAACTTTTCTCTTTTCTCTCTTTTCTTTTCTTTTTTTTTCTTTCCTTTTCTCTTTTTCCATTTTTTTTCTCTTTTCCTTTTCTCTCTTTTTCCTTTTCTCCTCATAACCTTGTTTCCCTGTGCCTTCTCTGCAAATACTAACTTCTATGGTAACTAGATTTTATGACTTTAAGCCCTGCACTACATTGATGGCAGGGTCTCACCATTTTAATGGTTAAAATGCAATGTTAGTCATTATCTACTGCCTTAATTCTAGTTCTTTTAATTTTCTCTCAAGTTCCAAGGTGCAAAAGTTAAGCAGGTTGGGTGGAATGATCAAAAGACTGATTTAGAAACGGTTTAAAAAATGGAGTAATGGTTAGCAGCTCCAAATGTGGAATCGGAGAGCCGAGTTCGAATTCCAGTTGAATCCATTACCTTCATTTACATGCTAATGCCCTTGAGAAAGGTATGAATCCTCCTCTTCTCCCCCAGCTAAGGGTAAATAGCAGGACAGACCATGTTCTATAACCTTGGATGGCAACTGATCTACCGCAGAAAAAAATGGCAACCTACTGCGAGAAAAAATCTGCCTCGTGAATCATTTATCGAAAGATGCATGATCACCTGTGTGTATCGCACATGGCACATAACTGACACACTTGAAAAATTCATGTAAAAAATAAATGATTTAAAAATTTTAAAATATTATGGATTACTTGTAATTGCATGTCGGAGTCCCAGTATAGTTATAATTATTGATCAATTTTATCATTGTGATATTTTGGCATTGTATCAAGAATATAGTAACAAGGATCTGCAAATTGGAGGAGAGTTATCAATGATAATGTTCTGACTTCAAATCCCTGTGTATCTCCCTTTTAACCCTCTCTGTTTTTTTATTTTTAAATGTACTTTTTATCACATAAAATTTAGTGAGATGCAAACAAATTTTAATTCTGAAAATGAATCCCAGAGAAAAAATGCTTGGGTCCCACTGCCCTAAAGGGATGTCTTATGAAGTAATTTCTGACTAATGGTTTGGTTTTAACTTTTCTTTTTTAGTTATTTGGTGTGACAGTTTCTATGACTTCAGCCACAACCTACATTCTAGACAATGGCCTTATAAAAACTGTTGTTGGTGTCACTCGGAGCATCAATCGCCTCAATCTTAATAATGGTATCAACGTTGAACTCATTTCAAGGTAATTACATTTTCAAAGTTTTCTATGTGTAAAAAAAAAAAAAAACCAACGATCAGTACAGCAGAAATAGCCTCTTTCCACCTGAAACAACTTCTAGGTGTCGATATGCTGCAAAATAGAAATAAACAATTCTTTTCTGATTTTTAATATTATCCACATATATAAATAAAATTGTCATATACAAGGAGCACGCTGAAAATAATGCTTCCTATTTTATTTGCCCATGCCAGGGGTTGCCAAACTTGTTTAATGTAAGAGCCACATACAATAAAGTTCAGATGTTTGAAAGCCGCAAGACATGAACGAAATTGAAATTTTTCTTTTTATATTAACTGTGATGAAAAAAAGAGCTTGGCTAACATATTTCCACAAGCTGCATATTAAAGGTTAAAGAGCCATATGTGTCTTGCAAGCTGCAGTTTGGACACACTTGGCCTATGCCATCAAAGATGGATGTTGGTGGTATGTCCGTATAGAGTAAACCCTTCTGCCAATATCAGCTGTGTGAAAATCTGATAAAATAGTCTCTGAAATGAAAGTGCCAATGAGAGGTGCCCTACAACTGTTCAACTACAAAAAAAAAATTGCACCTATTGACTATTCTGTTTGCTAAACATTTATGGAGAACAAACAGGGTGTGATTACAGGTGGTAGATAATGCATTTCAGTTGTGTGTGACCAGCTGCATTTAACATGAGCAATATCTTTTAAATCACTTGTTAAAAATGCATAATCAGTGGTCTGGAAAGAGCTTTGATTCTGAAAACTTGCTTTCTCCACCAGTGTTATTGTGGTTGCTATACTTGTTGTAGCTTTTGTGAAAATTTGTCATAAAGTTTGCAATATAGAGATGGGCAACTCGCTTCTGTTGTAGAATGTTGTGTTATTCAATGGTGAATGTTATCTTGGTATTTACAAAGTATTAAAAATAAGCGAGAAAATGTTGGACAACATAGTTAGTTATATATGCATGTAATTTTTTTCCCCTTCCTTTATATAAAATTTATAGTATTCTATTTTAAAAATGAAAACTTTAGATAGGGGTGAAAATGTTACTTTCTTGTAATAATTATAAACTTTAACATTTGAGTGCAATGAATGGGAGATGCTAATTATTGCTGTGTGTTTGTTTTTGTTTTTTTATAGCCAAAAGATGGATTTAACAGAAACCTTGGAGACCAAAGAAAAGATGATAATACCTGACCTTCAGAAAGCAGAGGAATTTCTTGACAAAAGTGATATATTTTTTTTTTTTTTTTTTTTTTTTTTTTTTAACTCTTAATTTCTGAGGGAGGAATGAGTGTCATTGGGATGTTTGTGATGCTCTGAGTGTCATGTTTTTAACAGATTGCAAATGCAATTTGGAGTTTATGAAACCAGGTAAAATGATGTGAAGTATGTTTATCAAATTCATGCTACTCCCAAGCCTATCTTGGGAGTAGCATGAATTTGTCTTTACTAAAACTATTTTCAATACTTTTCATAGCCATTTCCTTTTGTTAGCTGAGGGCAGGGGTGAAAAAAATAATTCATTTCTTACCAATGATACACACACACATATATATATATATATATATATATATATATATATATATATATATATATATATCTCAAGGAAAAAAAAATACAGTTATAAATCATGATTTATTTCAATAAGTCAAAATAAATCATGATTTATAACCATTTTCGAGATGTGTTGCGCTTTTCCTTGATGTATATCACATTGCTGTGTATTCTATATATTGAGCTGTCTATAGATCTATCTTTTTAATATTTTATATTAAAAAGAACCACTTGGATTATCCTTTCCACTTACAGATTTGATTTTTATATATATATATATATATATATATATATATATATATAATCTTAGTTTAAGAAACTGACCATAAGATTTGTTTTTGGTGGTGTTTTTTCTTTATAATGGAATATCAGCTTCACATGCTTACAGGAAATTGCTTGATAAAAAAATTACCATTATACAGAAGTTGATGTGTGCCATAAATATTATGTTCTTCAATAGATTTAAATCTTAATCTTTCAGAGTTTGGCTACAGCCACACAGTCTCCTTATTGCCAAGTGGAAGAGAAGTGCAGCATTGTACAAAAGATTGTTTGTCTGTAAGTTCCTCACTTTTTGATTTCTTTTCCAAAAGAAAAAATCAAAATCTAACAAGCAAAAAAAGATAAACTGGCCCCCTTATTAAATAAAGCCATGTAATTACCAAGAGTTGACTTATTTGCAGAACCAATGCATATGCACATTAGCATGGTAGCCTATGCACATATGTAACCATTTAAATTCATGGAATGACCCTGTAAAAACAAAATTTGCTTATCTGGCTACTGTTGAATGTCGTCGCCTTCAAAGTTCCTCCTCTCATGAAGCTATGCACTTGATGCCATTGCTGGAAACATTCTTGGAACTAATTTTCCAGAATAGCTTTCAGTAATGTAGCCATGTGTTGCTGGATTTCAGCAAATCTTTATCCTTTCAGGATATTTTTTTTTTCAATTTTGGAAATAGTTCCGTGATGTTTTTCTATGTCTGAATAAGGTTGTAGCAAAGAAAATGTCTGCTTATCTCATCAAACCCAGCAACAGCATATTGTGTGTATCTTGCATCAGAAAAGAAAGTGTGCACATTTCTCTTATATATGAGAATGTCATGCAAGTTTTTGGTTACACCTCAATCAATCACTGACTTCAAGACCTAGATATAAACAGGTGCCGTATGTGGCCAGTAGATTAGCTCTGAATCATTACATGACATAAAGGAGTATTTCATGAGATGTGCAACTGCAGAATTGAAAATTATCCCCTCATAAAATTCTACTATAAAGCTAAATGGCACATTTTTGTAATGAATTCCTTAGCCAGACATTCGTGGGTCACCTAACAGATCTTGTACAGAAGCATTATCATAGTCCACTTGTCAGGCCAGATTTTGGGTCTTTTCTGCCAAACGCCATTGTAACCTATTCAATATTTCAAATCAGCATGTTGATTGGTAGTTTGTCCTTGTTCAAAGAATTTGTAGTAAACTATTTTGTTATGATCAAAGAAATAAACAAGCATGGTTGTTTTTTTACTTCCTGCTTTTCCTTACTATTGTAACAATGAACTGCTCCTACTTATAAATATGGCAAGTAGCCACATTAGAGAAGATTTTGAGTAGTATTTGATTTACTCAAGTTATTCCATTCTTTACATTATTCAGACTATTGTACTCATCGTTGTCGCCATGTTTATTACAACATTTCTGCCATTGTATGCTCCGGCCTTCTTCAGGTGGTTGGAATGTCGAACTTAACCCTTTATTTCGCTCACTGGGGTAGACTGTTCTAGTTCCATGTGCCATGTTTAATGGATGTCAGTTATCTCCTGTTAATTTCCCTCTGAAAGTTCTCCGCTGTCTTAACCGGGTATTGAACTCGCACTCTTTGGGTCCTGTCATTGGATCTAACCAACACCTTTATCCACTGTGCTATGTGTCCTTGAGGAATGTACAATGGCCAAAATGTTGTAATAAATATGGTGACAAAGATGAGGACAATAGTCCGAATAATGTAAATAATGTACATAATATCTCATCTCAGAAATATAGACAGTTATTCCATTCTGAGTATTTAATAAACCTCTTTGTTTCCTCTACCTAGTCTTTTTCTCCTTTGATATTCTAACTATGCCCTTCCTAATTCTCGACTATTTTGAACAGACAACATTACAACAGTTTTGAACTTTGGATGAAGTAAATGTCCTTGAGGCCAAGATGAATTCTTTGTTTTCCATAACATGCTCTGGATATTTGTTTCTGGGTTGTAAGAAAAACCTTTCATCACTGTCATTAATCAAAACATCAGATAAAACCTAATGTCAACTTCATATTTGCTCTTCAACCATGACTCTAGTTACCATCTTTGACAAAATTTACATTCCTAAATACTCTGTTAGAAACTGATACACTCTTTCCCTGGCTATATTCAGTTCGGCTATCAGTTGTAACAAATGTGCATCAGTACAGATGCAAGAGATTTTTCCCCCGTTAGCAGCAGGACAATTTGGCAATTAGTCGAGATCCGGGTCTTAGTAAGATGCCTCATGTCAATAAAAGTAGGGGGAGGAAACCAGCAATCGGCAAGATACAGTGTCTTATGAAGTTTGTCCTGTGTACATTTTTGTTACTGTGGTTTCCAAGGCAATTTCATTTTTGTTACCTCTCATTTCTTTCCCTTCTCTACCTGTTACCCCTGTAGTTGTTGGGAGAGCAATCGGTTAGGTGTCCCCTGCCTAGTCTCAACACCCTTTGCTTACATTACAACTCTGCCCTCTGTTCACCTTATTTATTTTTTTTTTTTTTTTATTTTTTAGCTGCCCCCTTTTCTTACATTATCGTACATCACCTACACTTCATCTCCCCCTGCTTTGCACTGCTTGTGTCATTCAAAAACGCTTGATTTCTTCATATGTTCACCACAAGCCATTTTTACTCGTGCTAATATTTCACTAACAGTTATACCAATCTTCACACAAGACTTGTTTTAATATTAATCTGTTGCTTCAGATTCCATTTCACTCGTTTTTTTGCCAACAGTATAACAGAAACACATACAATTTCCTCTACTGCTTGCCAATGAATGACTCCTGGTTTGTGTATCAAAAAAAGCAGAAGTTGACATGTTTGGAATTACTTGAGTACAAGTTTACAAGTCTATCTCTGATTCATAAAATATATTTGCTGAAATACATGATACATATTTATTTTTTTTTTTTTTATAATCATTGTATAGTTTTTTTTTTTTTTTTTTTTTTTTTTTTTTTTTTTTTTTAATAGCTAATGCACTGGTATTAGGACCATGTAATTAATACACTGGTATTATGACTAGAGGTCCATGTAGCAAATTTAGAAAGCTGTTGAGTTAAGATGAGGTGTAATGAGTGATAGTTCTCCAAATACACTTCTAAGCTATGCAAGTGTGTGTGTGTCTAAATGTTACCATTTCAAAATTAATTAAAAACCTAATATACATATGTGTAACTAAAAGTTTAAATGTTAGAACTGATCCTCAGACACTTAAAATTAAGACTGTTTGTTTTTTTTTTTTTTTTTTTTTTTTTAACAATGAGTGATGACTACCACCATTCCTCTTTACATAAATGGCTTACAGCCATGTCACTTGTTGAATCACCAGTTCCCATACGATCAAAATTAAACAACATTTTGATGGATCAACACTTGGGAATACCAAGTGTTGTAAGCTTGAATGTATGGATGGTGTATTGTTAATTGGAGAGGAGTGTCCCAATTCCAGTTGGGTTTGTTATGTCATTGTTCTATTGCTGTTAGATTAAGTCCCCCCCAAGTAACTTGGTAAGTTCTTGCTAGCAGCAGCATGTTTATCTCCCCCCCAGTTCTCAACCTCTCAGCGCTCCATATAAACTGAGCCCATTTCTCCTTGTAGCAGAGACTACTACATGCCTGGAGAGAGAGAGAAAAAAAAAACACTTTTTTTTTTTTTTTTTTTTATGCAGGCAATCCTTTTTTGAAATACATAAGTCACACACCATGCATTTAAGGCAATTACTGGTTTCGTCACATGGATTTCTATAAATGTAGGCCCTAACTTGCTCTTCCCCAGTATCCTTTTCTACTGATCCTCTGATCTTCTACCTCATTGAAAAACCTGTACTACTCCTAAATTGTGCTTCATTTAGTTTAGATATCTCCCACTATATCCTGACCATATACTACATAACTCTATCCTTTGAATCTTGTTCCTTAATTATTTCTTTTACTTCCAGAAACATGTTTCCTCTGAATTTTCTGTATATGCAGGTTCTTCTTTGATTGCTATCTCATCTGATCTCTGTCTACATGATATTCCTTGGTTCCAAAAGAATTTTCTCGGAGCATTCTTCATATATTTCCTCTTTGTATAATCAACCATTGTAAGAACTAGCTGTTTGTTCTTTTTCTTTTTTTTTATCCAATTCAGTGTTGTCAATAAGTTGTATAGCCAGAACTACCTCAGATAAAATGAAGCCTTGCTTTTTTAGCTCTTTGACATTCTTCTCATAAGAATTGAGAAACTGATCCATGGTATCTGACACTTTCTTCAAAAGATTTTTATGTGCACTGTTTAACATATAACACTCAGATCTTCTTTCTTAAATGACTTTAAGATAGTAAAAAATCTGCTCAACAGCATTTTCATCTTCAATCCTGATTTCTTCATTTTGTGTTATATTCACTTACATGCAAATGCCCTTGGGGAAAGCTATGAATCCACCACTTTTCCAGCTATGGGTTTATTAGTAGGACTTCTATCACTAAAATCATTATCTCAAAAAAAATTAGTTCAATCCAAAAATATTTTCTGGCTTTAAATAACCTGCAAAGGGTTGATAAGCTGTTGAAAATGAAACCATCAATTAATATTTACATAAAGAGTACACTGAAGCAGTTATCACCCATGAAATACAAACATGATTAAATATTCATAGAATAAAATATAATTTCCTATATATTTTATTGTACTTTTTTTTTATTTTTTATTTTCTCAAGCCTCTCGACTTGATTAAGAAAAACAAAGAAAATCTAAGTAATGACAATTTATCTAAAATGTCATCAGCTTCTGCATTTCTGAAAATGATCCGTGCCATGAGGGATGTTGAAAAAGATCTTGTTGTGCAGACATTGACACATCCTGACAGCTATTACATTGTGTAAGCAAATTCTGAAAATATTTTGTTCATTTTTGCATGTTGCTTTTTGCACTTTAACTTTCTTTTTATCTATTTTGAACTGACAATTTAATATCTTGTCTCTGTTTATATATTGACATCACAAATAGGATTTATTAAATGAAGGAAATCTTTCATTACAAAAATGTGATAAAGAAAATTTTGGTAATAGAAAAAAAAAAAATGAAAATTATCAGTTGTATTTTACCAAATTGACATTACGTTTAAAGTTTACAGAGAATCAAGAAGCTAGAGGTCATACAAGGGACACCAAGCCCAGTTCAACTGGGCAATTTCAATGCCTTTCAAAGATTGAACTTTAAAGCCGTCACTGTAAAATATCCTGGACACCTCATTAACAAGAATAAGCAGCAATATTTCAAAAGGAAATTTAATTTTGCTTTAGGAATTAAAAAAAAAAAATCTTGAATTCCCAGTCTCAAAGCTAGTCCTGAAGTCAGCAATGTTGGTGCTTTTCAACAGAACTGGAGATAGAAAATAGTTTGAATTTTACTATAATAAACAGGATCGCAGCTATTAATATTTATTGGCAGGGCCTATTTAATGGCTGAGATTGTCAATGTCTAAGATAATCAACAATCGGTTCAAGTAAATGTCAGGATATTGTATACTGATATCTTTTTGTTTTTCCAAGTCAATCAATTGGCCTCCCCTCCATAGAAGAAATATGAAACTTAATAAATAATTTCTGAATTAGTAAAAAAAATTATTGGAATCAACAATTGTACAGCTTTAGTTTGTGTTAAGTAAAGACAAAAGGAAAACTTATATTAACCAATGTATTTTGTCCTCTGAGGGACTTTATCAAGTAAAAATTTTTCTCGGACCAGTCAAAGATGGATTCAATGGATTTTTTTTTTTTTTCTCTCTTGTGTAGCCAGCTTCTAATGTTCAGTATGTTTTGCATACACAATCTTGAACATCATTGCAGGACATGAAGAGATGGTCGGATATTTTAGCTTGAAATGCCTGGTATATCTTTGAGTAAGGTCAAATTCAATACCAGTATTTCTCTTGCTATTGTCTTAAAATAATAATGCATTTTAGTGGCAGTTTAAGAAAATTTAAGAAAAGGCTATTAAAAATGGCACAGTAGATATGGACTGATTTTAGTTAAAATGAAATTCTTAAAAATTTACTCTTCATAAAAATATATACTTTACTACATTTCTCTTGTGGCATTGCAAGCTTAAGAACATCAGAATTTAAGACAAGAGAAAAATGTTTTTAGGGGTGAAGTGTCATTGCCAAAATAGTCATTTATAGCTTGAATTTAAACCTTTTAAGTTATTTTGAGACACTTTCCTTTGTCTTCATTAAGATAGAACATGAAAAATAGATAAAGCTATTTCTGGTGTCTTGCTCAGACACCTCATTTTTTTTAAAGTTAGTTTCCATGTGGAAAGAAAAATGACCTTCAATGGCAAATTAACTTAATCTGTTAATGGTGAAATCTTAACTCTGTAAGTTTTGACATTTTTTATTTTCTTTTTCCTCAAATGAGTTGACGAATTGTAGAAAATCTTTTTCAGCATTTCTTTTTGATTGCTAATTTAAACAGCTTAATTTCACTTGAATTAATGACTTGTATAATTTTTACAGACCCCAGTTAATTGATGTTGCAAGTGCTACACAAACACCCAGCAGCCACAGTTCAATTATGGAACTTTTGAGTTTTGAAGATACAAACATTGATTATCCCGAACGCTATCTCTTCACACTTGCCTATGCAACTCACCCTGAAGAATTCATTCTCAAAGATCTTTTGGTAAGAATGCTACAAAATATTTTAGTTCACATATTACCATCAGCACAAAGAACTGTTTGATTTTGTTGCCAATTCCTCCTCACTATCAATCTTATCCCAATTTCTTTTCTTTTTACATCCTAATCTGCTTGTTTCAAAACCTTTTATAAATAAATACTGGTATTTCATACTCTATGAAGTATCTAGTGGCAATTGTTTCTTTGGTTTAGTTGTTGTAACAAGCATTTAGTTGCAAAGGAAAAGAACAAAAAAGAATTAAGATTTCAGCAATGTGTATTGGTTAAAATTCAGATTATGTACATAGTTGTATGAAAGGTGGCCAAAAATTGTTCATATGTGGTTCCTTAGTTGCCATTGGTTAAAAAAAAAAAGCAATTAGGCATAAGGTGTTGTTGGTAGGGCTGGGACTTATTTCTTTGGTTGGTTGGCCAAAATCACAGTTGGTGTCAGGTGTTTGATCTGGCAGTTGTGTGACAAGGTCAAAGTGTTGAAGCCAAACTGCCTGCAATGAGTGCCATTTTTTATACCTTGGTTGTAACAGGTGTAGACTCTGAGACATCCTTTTTGTTTGTGTGTATGTGTGTTTTTTTTTTTTTTTTTTTTTTTTTTGTTGGAATGTCTGTGATATTAGATTTAGAGGAGGAGTGGGTGCCTTTTACAGGGATTTGATTTGTAGACCAGATGTGATGCTCAAAGCACCTAAAATCTTGATTTAGTATAACAGCTTATTAACCACTTCTCCACGACTAAGCACCCAACATCTGTTCAAAATGCTAAAATCTGATTTGGTTTTGTTGTGAGATATTTTTACTTTATTGATCATGCAATACTAATGATAAAAAATAAGGAACACGGCTGACATTCTTAGATCGGTTTTAGTGAATACAAATTTATTATCATGACTATTATAACACTCACCTACATGAGAAGAGTGGGTGGGTTTTCATGATACTTATTTAGATAAGATTAAATGTTTTGTGATGTTAATGCTCCTCAGGCAGATAAGAGCATGAACATCAAAACCTTTAGTGGGTCATAGATAAGTCTCGCGAAATTCATTTATTGATAATAATTATTGCTCTAGATATTTTAATGTTCAACTTGTGTGTTTAAGTGGAGGGGGCGGGGGGGACTCGATTGTGAACATTCAGTTTTATTACTTCTCTCTCTCACTCAGTATCTCATTTTTATATATATATCTCTATCCATCCAAATGTAGGATTGGTGTATACGGAATAAATTTCAATAGCCAAAAAATTTTTTTCTTAAAAGCATGCTCAATACAGAGTAGAGCAAATATTTTTTATTAAAAAATTATGATAAATATGTTATAAAATCACTACAAAAATAGCCATTTTGTTTCAACACTTCTGGTGTCTTATAAATTATGAGAGGGCAGTTAAATACAAAGAATGTCTTTTAAGTGTCATCATCCCAAAATAATGATTCATTCTTTTTTTTTTTTTTTTTTTTTTTTTCCTTCAGAAATTCTTCAAAAAGAAACTTCCTTCTCCAAAACTGCACGAAAGCCTTGGCCTTTGTTTAGGTGCATTGATGTACACATATTGCATAAAACTTGGCCACTGTGATAAAGATGTAAGTTGACATTTTTTTTTATTTTTTTTTTTTTTTTTTTTTGTTAATATAAAATCTAATCTTTTCTTTTTCTTTATTTTCAAGTTAGTATTCTTTGCTGATAAATAATCATTAAATTAAGATTATATCCTATGTGAATATTGATGTCTAAATATTTCTAAACTTTTTAGGTACCTCCACAAAATTGCTAAAAAAATTAGCATACCATGAAAACATGCTTCAAACTTAATGGATACAGTTTTATCATTAAAATCTTAAATATTTTTTGAATATTTTTAATTCATTTTCTCCTTTTTAGAACATTTGAAATTTTGTGTCATTGGATGTACGTACTATAAATTAGCATAGCAAATTTTTTTTTTTTTTTTTTTTTTTTTTCAATGAAAGACACATTAATTTGGAAATTTTTTTTTCAAAAATTAAATAATTGTCAGATTTTAATGAAACTTTTAAGACAAATTAACAAATGAAATTATTTTTGAATTGTTGAAAATATTAAATTTAATCTCGCAGCTTGACACTAAAATAAAAGCTTCACAAAGATTATTCATTTTAAACAGGTGTCGTGTTTTTGTGGGAGTACCTACATTATAACCTCTTACCTGTCATTTAAAATCACCAATACACACACACACACACGTGTGTGTGTGTGTGTATATATATATATGTTTGGTTGCTAAAATTCTGATCATTATTTACTTGTTTGGGAGTGAATTGATTCCAAACAATTTTCTAATGCTTTTAAAATTTATTTTAGTTTTGTTATATAAATTTGAATGTTAAAGTTAAAAAAAATTGTCTTGTTGCATTATCCTCTATAGCAAGAAGACATATTTTACAGTGCTCATTTAGATGACAGATAATATTGGGTTACATGGTACCAAGAATAATGAAAGATCCATAAACTGACACTTTTGTATAAGCCATTATATGTCATTGACTCTACATTTAAGTCAAGAGAAATTGGATTTATGGCATTAGTATCAATTGAATACTTAAAATGATTCAAATTTCTTCTGAGGTTTTAAGTGTCCTCTTCATACTAATGCCCTTGGAAAAGGTACAAATCCAATTCTCCCAACTGTCAAATGTGGAGTCGATGACACTATCAGTTGAATGGTAAACAATTCACTTTACTGTTCAGTATAACTTACAGTGGCATTGAGTTACTTTCTTTGTTCCTTTTAAAAAAAAAAAAAAAAATTGTTTCTCTCTACTCTCCAGATTGTAACTGAATATATCAATTCTGCACTTGACCAATATTCAGCCACCAAAGACGAAAGAAGAAAATTAATGTTAATTCGATCAATGGAAAATGCTGCCCTTCCAGAATTTCTGCCAACTCTTCTAAATGCTGCTGCTACTGACAAATCCTACACTGTTTGTTCTGCTGCTGTTCAGGCTTTGAGACGTTATGATTCCAAATTCATTCGAGAACAGGTAATCAAAATTATCTTGAAAATTGAACCATTTTTTATTATAGTTTTTGACTAGTATTTGTTTCATTTTATTGGAGTTTGCCTAACTCCATAATACCTTAATATTAAATGTAAATCAGTGGGTGTGATAGTGATGTCAAATACAGTAGTAATTTTGCATTTTCAAAGGAATGTGCTTGTTCTCTAAATAACATTGTTGTCCCACAAAATAATTTGTTCTATTAGAAATTGTTCTCTTGATGGTGAGTCCTGGATATGACAATAAAATACATCTGGCAGCAAGATTTGGGAGATTGGGGGTTTTGTGGGGAGTGGAACCACCTCTTAATTCCTGTTTTTCCCAACTCCATCCTGGCCTCAGGTGGTAACACTTGTTGGGTCCCAACTATAGACAAATAGTGACCCCCCAACACACACACACACACACACACACACACACACACACACACACCAAACAAATCAAAACACTATGAAAGTATAAAAATAGAATTTTATAGTAGAAAATATTAGCAACACATTTTTGTAACAAAATGACCCACAGTTGGTTATGTGCCATGCATTATACAGGCTCAGGTGATGTATCTTTTGATACATGACTGACAAGGCAGATTTTTTTCCCTGCTGTAGGTTGCCATTTCTTACTGTGATAGACCAGTTGCCATCCAAGTCTATAGAACCCCGTCTGTCCTGCTATTTACTCATAGCTGGAGGGGAGAAGAGGATTCATACCTTTCCCAAGGATATTAACACGTAAGTGAATGTAATGGATTCAACTGGAATTCAAACTTGGCTCTCCAAGCAGAGAGGAACCCGGATGAAACTTTGCCGAAGGGCAGGGTTTCGTTCGGGGAGGTTATGACAGCTCTTGAACTCACCTAGGCGGGTCGAAGGCTATATTTTTGGCCAGGCCTACGGGCTCGGGTGACCACGTAAAACTCGGCCTTGTGCCACATGCGACCCATCGTGGGGGGACAGCTAAATATAGATATGCAGCTAAACAAAATCAACCAACTCTTTATGTCTCTCTTTCCATGAACCATTTCCAAGCCACTGTTTGCTTGTTTTTTTTTGTTTTTTAGCATGCATTGTTTTTTTGTTTGTGTTGTTGTTGCTGTTTTTTTTTGTTTTTTTTTTGTTTGTTTGTTTGTTTTTGTTGTTGACCAGTGAATAATTCCATGTGCAAACAATAGCCGTCTGGATCTTATAACGCCGCTCGAAAAGGTCTAGAGGTTTACTGATCGAAAACTTGTTGCGCATATTGTGTTTTCCATAGTCAGGTTCCATTATTTCATCTTGATGTTGTCATTTTCGGACAGCCAAGTCAAGGATTCAGGAAAAGAGTTTGGCACAGGTTTGCTTTAAGAACTTTACATTCTATGAGGTGTTTAAAATGTTACTGATGAATGCGATTTTTCGCTGAATATTTCATTTACGCGCCATTTTGGATTTTCCTATATGACAAAAATAAGTGTTTTAAACAGCCATGATATAAAGTCATTATATCATAGATTAGCAACCAGAGCTGAAGAGCTATCTACCCTTAACATACCAACTAGTTTTGAAATCAGTTATTCTCCTCCTAAACTGGTTGCCAACCAAAGCTACAGTCCAGTTTACCCTGCTATTTAACCCATAGCTTAGATGAGATGGATTAATACCATTGCCAAGGATATTTTTGCAAAAATGAGCATAATAAACTCGGTTTGCTAATTTCTCTTTCTGAACAACTAAGCATTGTGACTCGCACATCCATATTCAAAATGTCCACTAACTGAAAATCAGAATTTTCTTCAAGAAGTCTGATAATGTTGGTATTTCTCTACAGTAATGCATTGTAGGCAATGAAATAAGAGGTTATATGTAGTACAATGATCTGGTTATACTAGATTAAATTCTCACAGGTTTTTATAGGCAAGTATACTCCTAAGAGTTAAAACTAAGTAGAGAATGTTAGCTCCTTTTTTAATTGTACTTTGAACCAACATAAAATATTTTCAGTTTAATTTAAGCAACAATATGAATTAAGACTGGCCAGAAGTAAACTCTGACCACTTTGCTAGATTCAAAGCTGAAATGCATTCATTTTGAAGCTGAAACCTCCAAATATTTAATTTTGGCAATATACAGAGTGATTGAAAAGTAACTTCCCCATTTTAAAATACTTATAATTTATTTATTAACTATAATTTTTACAAGAAATGGATATGAGGAAAGTGTTTAGCATGAGGTTTCATTTAAAATTTGATATGTGTACCAGATTTTGCTACCAACTTAAGCTGCCCAGAAATCACATCAACTGATCTCACCAGGAACTCTTGTGGTATAAAAGACATACCTTTTTGTATTCACCTTTCAAGTCTTCGTTTGGTATAGTAGACTTGCTCCTTTAACGATCCCCAAAGGTAAAAAAATCACAGGTTGTTAAGTCCGGACTCTTGACTGGCCACTTGTACATAAGATAAAGAGTCAATTTTCAGTCACTCTGTAGGTTTCAAGATCTTAAAAATAATAGATTACTTGAAATCAAAATTATAAAAAAAAAAAAAAAAAAACCTTGTATTTGTAACTTTTTCATAATTGTGTAATAAATGTTTTTCCTTTTAAAATTTTATGCAATGGTTGAGTCTTATTTGTGATTTTTACATCTATTGTGACTTGCTAACCTACTGATCTGCTTTTTGTGTTTGGCACAAGAACTTAGATTTGGTAGGGAATAAAATTTTTCTGTTAGAAATAAAACTGTATTAAAATGCAGGTACAAATACAAAGTTTGCATAAAACTTTCCTTTTAAATATCTATAAATTCACCCTTAAAGGATAACCAAAATGATGCAATATCTTTTGAATATTTTAATTACAATCCTAAGTAATTTAATCAATTTAAAGGCATTTAAATTTTGATAAGTAAAATTGAAAATCACTGAATAAACTAAATACGTTCAAAAAAAAGAAACCCTCACCACAAATAACTCTAAACTCAGCAACTTAAATTTTTAGTATAAAATTCTATTCATTTTTTTTCTAAATCTTATAAATAATTTTTAATATACCCAATTAAAAAGCATAAGCAAATATTTTTTCATAATAGAATCATACATTTTCATATTTATATTTTCCACAATATTGAAAATATCCAGCAATGGCCTTTTTTTTTTTTTTTTTTTTTTTAGCCTGCCAAATTCAGAATTGAGATGGAACACTATAAAATGTCTTTTATTTTTAAAGAGCTGCATTAACATGTTTTTTGTGTACTTGATTGTTTGTATTCTAGGCAAGCCCTGTCCTAATGAGCATCTTTAAAGAGACTGACCGCCAATATGACACCAGTACTAAACTTATTGCCATGGAAACTGTCATTAAGAATGACCCCTGCATATTAGTCTTGGAGGATATTCTATTGTCTTTGAAAAACCAAAAGAATTATGAATTTTCGGCCTATATTCTCTCAAAGATTCAAGATTTAGCTCGTGTAGATTTCAAATTTAGGTAAGTTTTGTGGCTTTTTTTGTTTGTTTTTTTTTTTTTTTTTTTTTTTTTTAAAAGTAAATTCTCATAGTGCAGATGATTTCTCTTAACTTGTACTGTTGTCAAAGGTAGGATGGGAATAAACTTATAGCATAAAAACAAATTTATCAAATTGAATTTTGGCTGATGCTATTTGCATTCATTTCATACTAAACCATGAATTCATGGGTATTGGTAGATATTGTAGACTGGGCCCTCTAACCTTGATTAGTAACAACTAATTTCAAACCAGGAATAAAACCCTTGAATATAGACTGGTAGTCAAAACTATCTTCTGCCACAAAGAGCTTTCATCTTCAAGCGAAATGTTTTTTTGATTTTTTGACAACTTCATAAAGGTTTTTTTTACCAATCATAAAAAAAAAACTTTATGAAGTCATCAAAAAAACAAATTGTAGCTAAATGCAACACTTTTATATACACACAACCCTTTTAGAAAAAATAAATTTCCATAGACACTTAATGGTGAACCAGACGGTATGAGTTTAAATGCCATCTTCCACTTTAATTCAGACACCCCAACCCTCCCTTGACATGACCTCTTTCTGAAAGTAACCGAGATATTGATACAAATTGTTAACCTTTACACCCCTTATTTAAACAATTGTTCTAGCCGTTTCCATAGTAATTTAATTTTAATAATGAATATGCTTATAAGGATGCATTAATTTCAAGATTAGTTATTCCTAAAATTTTGCTTGAAGATGAAACGGAGCTTGGTACTTTAATCCAATTTAATTCTAATAATTATATTGAAGCTTTCAGCTGTAGTTTTTGAAACATGAGAACTTTTATGTAGTGGCGGTATCATTTTTAAATAAATAATTATATATGTATATATATTATCAGAGATAGTGTATGTAAATATAAAAGTGAAACCAACACTCGGAGCCAACACTGTTTCATGCAAAACACAATCATCAGGCCTGGATAGACATGGGTGTAGAAGCAGATGTCAAAATGGTATAAAAATTTATGAAACTAGTCAAATTGGCTTCAAGACTAAGCCTTCCGTCGTCTCACAAAACTAATAAACAAATTACTGTTGGGACTTAAATCTCACACCAAAACTGAACTTATTTTAAGAATAGTATTTTTTTGGTTATTGGAACTTATTTCGTATGCACCAATCCTATGCGTGGAGATATATATAGGTTTACTGCTAATGTGACATAAAACTCCAGTAAGTTTTTAAAGTAGTTTATTGGGCTTGCTACATTTTACTATTGACAGCAAGTCAAACATATTTGCATGTTTACTTATCTGGAGAAGAATTTTTTTTCTTGTCTTTTTTTTTTTTTTTTTTTTTTTCCCCCCTCCCTTTCTATCCCCCCTCCCCTTTCTATGTTAATCTTTCTCACCTACCTTTGTCCTTATAAACTTCTTAGCTGATTGTCTTTTCTTTTTCTATCTTTGCAGAAGTTTATTAATTTCTGTTCTAAAAAGAAAGAAATTGTTGAACTACAATTTGTGGAGTCAGAAAGGAACCTCAAGTTCATTTACATCTTTTCTTACAAGTAAGTTTCTATTTAGTCTGTCTTCTCTACATGCCTCTCTTCTTTTTCTCTTTAGCCATTGTAATTCTCACTAACAAATGCTATGTATTTAATATTTTGACACTCTTTTATACTTGTCTCAAAGTAATCACTAACATGGCTGCATTTTCTTGGCTAGAAATTTTTTTTTTTTTTTTTTTTTTTTATTTACCCAATACAAAGCCCAAGAGCCACTCAAGGTAGAGGTTAAGTGGGTAATCTGAATATAATAGTGCCAAGTGAAAATTATAAGCATATGGAGGGTAGGTAATGATAAGCTCTGAAGACGTTAAGGTTATAGCATCAATGTAACAGTTCTGAGGAGTGGGGGAAGCCATCCAAGTGGAATATCCACTTTACTATTGAAATACGGAGAGAGTAAGTTCAACAGCATGGTTTGTTTTTAGGTAAGCTTTAATGGTCTGAATTGGGGGAACTAAAGAATAGTCGAGAAACAATGATTTTCTTATGAATGTTCATGGTGGTATTGTACACAAATAACTGCAAACATGTTGACTAATTCATTCCCATATTTTAAGAAGAGAAAACAAAAAAAGGGACAAAATTCAACTCGGCTTGAGGCTTCATTTTATTTTTCTTTGCAGCATCAAAACCCATCAATTCCACTTATGGATTATTCATTGAAAATTCCAAATCTTCTCTCATCAAAAGGAGCATGTTTGCTGTGGAACTTACCGGTGAAGAAAGCATGGAGAAGGTCTTAACGGTAACTTTGGAAATTGGTTTTTCTCTTTCTGCTTTAGATTCTTCTTTATTCTGTGACTTTGACTTTTAGTAAATGAAAGTTTAAGTCGTGCTATTGCTGAGGGAGATATATATATATATATATATATATATATATATATATATATATATATATATATATATATATAATAGCTGTTATATTATATTAAGCATGGTTTTAACACAGCACTAAAATGGGGAAAGAACTAAGAACATATATTCCCGGCGAAAATAATCATCTAGAATCTACGTTCAGAGTCCAAAGAAAAAAAACCTGATATGAGTAAGTAAAATAACTAAACAAAGTGCTCAATATGCTAAGTAGAGCAAAGTAAACCTAAAGACCCAGATAAACCTACCTAGGTTTCACCTACACGGATTGTCAGGGAAAACTGGCTATATATATATATATATATATAATTATAAATTAATTGATTTAAAATGTTTTTTTCGCTACACAGTTCTAACCATGTTTCAAAAATGGAAGCTAAAATCCCCGAATTTAATTTTGTGATTAGTTCCATTTCATCCTCAAGCAATTAATGTCTTTAATTTAATCACAAAATTAAATTCGGGGATTTTAGCTTCCATTTTTGAAACATGGTTAGAACTGTGTAGCGAAAAAAAGCCATATTTTAAATCAATTAATTTATAATATTAATGCTCTGTAAATTTACATTGAGCACTATTTTGTAAAAATAAAATATCTATAAGAACACCGGATTATATATCTTGTTGTTCTTTCTTTTATATATATATATATATATATATATATATATATATATATATATATATATATATATATGTGTGTGTGTGAACTAGAAGAGTTCACTGTACAGAGACTTGATAGATGAACGGATTATGCATTTGTCAGTTGTAGTAGAATAGAATTTTATCTTAAAATTAGTAAATAAAAAAACAATTTATAATCAGTAGTATTAAATTTTTCCCCTTTGACTTCCAGACTGTTCATGATTGAGAGGGAGGGGCAAAATAGATTTCAGATATATCATCTGTATCAGTGAATTTTAATCTGATTTTTGTTGCAGTTTGGTCTTTATGCTGATGGCGTTGAAGGAATGGTGTCCGACGACCTTGCTAGTGAAGGTGTAGAACCAACAGCTGGAATGTCTTTGACCCTGTTTGATGTCCTTTTGCGACCTGTTGAATTCTTCAGAGGCTCAGGTGAACTTATGTCTGCTGCTTGGAATGCCCCTGCAGAGCCTGTGTCTGCACTTCAGGTAAAAATGTTATTTTAATTTGGTTGTTTTGAAATATTTTATCTTTCATTTTTTTGCTTGGGAACAAGACTGCCTTCCCCAGTCAATGTTCTGTGAAATCATTTAGTTTAATCTCTTTCTAAATAAGAATTTGTTTTTAAATCACTCTTCACTAACTTGAAATTTTCTGTAGATTTTGCAAAAGATGCTCACCAGTTCCTATGTATTTTGGTTTAAACATCATTTTGGACAAGAAAATATGCCATCACCTCCTCAAATGCACTCTTTGAACTGAGCAGTTATTTGCTTTTAATAAATATGGAAAGAATAAAAATAATTACCTATTCTTATGGGTTTTAGGTGACTCATACAGGTGTGAATGGATAGAGCCAAATGGTCTAATCTCACTGGCTATATCAGAAGGGAAGACACTACTTTTTACCCACTTCACTAACTGATTTTAGAATTTAGTTTCCAAGGTAGATGTTGACTTGTATGTGTGTGTGCTCAAATAATTTTATATCTTTTCAGAATATAGATGGATACCAAGTCCTCATTAACCTTCACCTATCCTTAAAAGGAAATCTAATATAAAAATTCTAAATACTGTTAAATTCCCTCAAAGTTTAAAACTGTTGTTGAAGTTGGTTTAAACAAATCAAGTTTGAAGGCAGCACACCAATATATAACCATTAAGAGTTCTTCTCAAAGGTTGTAAATCATTTCATGTCAAATTAAAAGGTTAATTTTATTAAATGTTTCACCTGCATGTTGTTGTTACCTGTTATCGGAACACTTTGGTTCAATACTCCAACTGGTAAGAAATTAAAAAGGTGGGGAGACACTTTAAACAAGGCTTGAATTTGCAGTGTATGTGACATGATAGTGCCCCCCCCACACACACACACACCTGCACAACTTATTCAAAATGAATTTATCTACATCTGAAGGAAGTGTTGTTCTTATGATCAGCAGTATAGTCTGAAGTAGAATTTTCAAATTGGTCACCCACTTGATTAAATGGGAATAAAATGGTTGTAATGGAATGTCCCACACTCCCTATCACCTATGTGGACTGACTATATCAGTGTGTGTGTGTGTGTGTGTATATATATATATATATATATATATATATATATATATATATATATATATATAATATATAGTGAACACAGGATATACAGCAATTAGTTGGAGATTCATCTCCAACTGTGCTGGTCGAACTTTGCCGTCGGGCAGAAAGGAACCCAGACAAGGCTATGCTAAAGAGCAGTCTCTCTTCTGGGATGGTAGACACCTACCCGACCCTGTTTATACAGGGTCTATGGGAAATTTTTGCCTGATCCTGTGTGCAGCCTTGTGCCACATCCTGCCTGACAGGGAGGTGAGGTAAAGTAAATAACCTTGCTTCAGGAATAAGTCTAGAGTTGGAGATTCATCTCCAGCTGTGCTGGTCAAACTCTACCTCTGGGCAGAGGATCCTCAGACAAGGCTATGTCAAAGGCTTGTCTCGGGGAAACAGCTACCTGACCCTGTTCTATACAGGGAATTTTGGGCCGAGCCTACAGGCTCAGATACCCCACATTAAATTCAGCCTTGTGCTACATCTGACTGCATGTGGCCGTTGGTATATAGCTTTGCTTCGGGAATTACTGGCCTGCCACCAGATTCCCTATCTTTCAGTAGTGTATTCTCTTTTACAATAAACCTTTCTTTCCTCTACCCGTCTGTTGCTCTTCCTTCACTAGAGTACCACCTCTGTCTCTTTGTAACTTCTTTAAGGATACAAGAATAAATGAAAAATTTTCAGATCAAGTGCTATTTGGTTAAAAGTTACAACTTTCTGCTTAAAGGCTTGTATAAACAGTTAGTTGGAATTGTGGGTGATTTCCAGGTTACCTGTTGACTGGTACAGGTTATCTCTCATGGTACTTTCAATATGGCCTGTTGGCAGAGTACAAGCTAATCATCAGTTCTCATTCCACCCATTTCCTGTTGTGAGGGGCAGTAGGAGAGAGTTCTTGCTGGTTTAAGGAAAAAAACTGATCCATAGTATGTCATAGAAGTTGTCCCAAGTATCACCTACCTACCTACCTACCTATCCACTCAGATCATGCAAGTGATTTCCTGAATAAACAACCAAATATATTGGAAATTTTGAATCTCACTGTGGCATTAATTTCACCTTTTGTTTACCTTGTGCAGTGGATCTTTTCCCAGTTTTTGTGTGCACCAACTCAAATGAGAATGTGGTTTATTTGTCAAATTGGTGAAAATATGAAAGGGAATTATTATATTTTTACTCGTCTACCTCACAACCATTTCTTTGCCATTTTTTACTTAATCAATAGAAAAAACCAATTAAATGGTGTCCTCAATTTGACTTCATAGTGTACAAAAAGTTTTAATGTTTCAAAACCTTCAAGAGATTTTTTTTGTGAACCTTTTCCTTTTGTCTTGCAGGGAAACCTCCTGCTTCAGGACCATCAACAGACACTGCATCTCCCCAATGGCCTCATTGTCAAAGTGGACCTCATGTCTGCATTATCTATGGATATATCAGGCTCTATGATTAACAGTCTTTGGAGCAGAACTTCAGAAAGTAAAGTCATTAACAGGTAAGATGTTTTTTTTGTGTTGTTAATAATCAGAATCAATTTAACTGTAGCCTCCAAATTTCTTAGCTGAAAAATTGTCAGTTTTCTTACTGGTATTTTATTATGCTGGCTTTTCTGCAATATTTGAATCATTAATCTAGAACCATTATGCAGCCTGGATCAGAAATAAAGAGGAAATGTCTTTCCATGACGGCACCTTTAACAGGCTTTATCAGCATGCCTCACTGGAATATATTACAAACAGGATGGCAGTATAGTTTAAGGAAAAAAAAGTCTCTTCAGGATTTAAGCAATCGTGCTTCTTCATAAACTTATTAATGGAATGGTTTCCCCCATTGTCTTCTCTTGATTTTAAATTCATCTTTCATTTAGACTAGTTACTTCATTTATTTGCAAGTACCTTTGGGGAAAGGTATGAAACCATCTCCTCACCCAGCTATGGAGTAAATAGTAAGACTTGTTGTCAAAAGAAATTAATGTAATGATCACTAACAAAAAATGTATTTTTACAAAAAAAATATATTTCAAGTTTAAATAATCACTAAGGGTTAAGCTATAAAAAAAACAAAAAAAAAAACGTCAATATGCAAGACTTACAGGTCAAGTATCCTTGCTATTTAACCCATTGTTTCATGGGGTGGGGGAGTAGAATTGATTCCTGCCTTTCCCAAGGGCATTAGTGTAGAAGCAAATGCAACTGTCTAGCCTAGAATTTGAACTTGCCATTCTGATATCCATTACACTATGCAAACATCACGTGGGCACCTTGAGGCAGTGTAATGGTTAACAAGCTTGTTACGATTGAGTAGTGAGGTCAATCCTCACTGGGTACCTCCTACTTTTGGCCTACTGCCACATGTTAGCTATGCTTGGAAAATCACTATGCAAACATCACTTGTATAGTTGCAATAAATAAGGAATAAAACTTTCTAGTTTATTTGAATGAGTCCTGCTTGTGATGATGCTGTCAAGGTAGACAGGTTCCTTGGGATAAGTAATGTATGTCATCCTTATTTATAATCCTTGATGATTCATGTTTTTTTGTTTGGTTTGGTTTTTGGGGTTTTTTTTTTTTTTTTTTTTTTTTTGTTTTTTTTTTTTTTGTTTTGTTTTTTTGTTTGTTTTTTTTTTGGTTTGTTTTTTTTTGTGTTTTGTTTTGTTTTGTTTTTTGTTTTGTTTTGTTTTTTTGTTGTTTTGTTTGTTTTTTTTTTTTGTGTTTTTTGTTTTTTTGTGTTTTTTGTTTTTTTTTTTTTTGTTTTTTTTTTTTTGTTTTTTTTTTTTTTTTGTTTTTGTGTTTTTTTTTTTTGTTTTTTTTTTTTTTTTTTTTGTTTTTGGTTTTTTTGTTTTTTTTTTTTGTTTTTTTGTTTTTTTTTTGTTTTTTTTTTTTTTTTTTTTTTTTTTTTTTTTTTTTTTTGTTTTTTTTTTTTTTTTTTTTTTTTTTTTTTTTCAACAATGACCTGAAAAAATGTGATTAATGCCAAGTACTTTATTTCTGTTACATTTTTTTTTTTTTTTTTTTTTTTTTTTTTTTTTTTAATATACTAAATTGTACATATTCTTTGATTGGGATTGAAATATTTAGTAGCTCCTAAGCTACCAAATGAGGTTTAGTCACTTCAATAGTAGTGGACTAATAAGGCTTGCCTGCTAAATGCTACTTCATGACCCCAATTCCCAAGCTTAACATCCAGGTTCTAGGTCAGTAGGGAACCAAGTAAGTAGTTCCAGATTATCCAACAGACTGAAACCTAGGACCCCCCCCCCCACCTCTCAAGCTAAAGGTGACCCTGTTACTCTAACAGGTTTGAGTTTTAGTTCAAAACTTTTAAATCTTAAAAACTGTTATAAAGCAATGATTTTAATTTTCTAGATGTTATAACTTCTAAATAGTTTCATAAACTGAAATGATATCAATATAACAAACGCATATTTATTTTGATTCTTATAATGCCGGTTATAAAAAAAAAAAATCTTTTTTTTGGCGGGGGGTTACTATGCTTGTATTGAAATATGTACTAATTTGGTTTGTAATAAATAATAAAACTGGTATTTCTTAAAGAATATTTTTATTGACAAACAAGTTAGCTATTTTAGTTTATTTGAATCGATTCATTCATTTTTTTTATGGCTTATCAACCCATGACAGATTATTTAAAGCCAGAAAACATTTTTACATTGTAAGAATTTTTTAAGATAATAATGGTTTAGTGATACAAGTCTTATTTAACCCATAGCATGGGGAGTATCTGTACATAAGTGACTATAATGACCCCAACTAGAATTGGAACTTTTCTGTCCAGTTAACAATTTCAAGCCATTATCCATTACACCACTTGCACATCCAAACAACTGGTAGTCCCAAGTGGTCACCCGTCTAGGTACTGACCAGGCTTGACATTGCCTAAATTCAGTTATTGTATGTGAGCCAGTGTTTCAACATGTGGCTGTAAGCCAGTTTATTCAAAGAACTTACAATAAGTTTACTTCAAGCTATGTAAATGTCACTAAAATATATCACTATTAAAAGAAAAAAATATTCAAAATGGTTGTGGATGAGTTAGAGGATGGTTCTTTCATTATCCTAGGGGCCCCCAAAAGGTCATAATCTGACCCTGCCAGTGAAGATTATCTGGCTATATTAGTTATAGCTTGCAAGTCTTCTTTCAGGTGCCAAATAAAAGGTGGGAGCTGTAATAAACGTTTGGGGATAAAATAAACTGATAAAATATAAACTGAATCTAAAACAAAATCTAAAATATTTTTACGATCACTTCTCAACATCACAGTATAAATAAATGTCCATCAAAATAGTTAAAAATTAATAAGTAGGTGTTCCTAATGAGCTTTGTGGTACCTGGGATCTTTATTTGGCACCCAAGAGAAACTTGATAACCACTTCACTATAGCTTAGCTTGGTCTAACAAAAGTTCTCAAGTCTGAGACACTTGACAAGGCTTGAATTCACATCAGCTATGGCCTGCATAAGGGAGTTAAGACCCTGCAAGACTTAACCTTATCAAAATTTGAGTGAAAGACACTTGAAGTGTTTGTCTATTTTGTTTAACTATTTTGCGTTGTAAAACATAACTTTATTTTTCCATCCCAACTCTGGAAACCTGAAGATGACTAGAAAATTAACCAACTAAAATCGACCACCTGAGGGATAGGCAGTCTTTTGTTAATGCTGTAGTCCTTTTGAGTCCTTCCCAAATGTTTCTTGTTCAACTTGTACAATATCTTTTTTTTTTTTTTTTTTTTTTTTTTTTTGTTTATGCCTATGCACAAGGTGTGTCAGAAAAGCAATAACTGAAGAATTTCTTTGTATCTCCATTTGAAAAACTCTTCCCCTTGATGACTATCATGCTGGAGCAACCTCTTTACTCACCTGACCTGACTTTTTTTTTTTTCCTGAAGTATCAAGCGAGCCATGATGATATGCTGCAGAGAATCCTGGGGAGGCATGGCAGAGAAGGATGGGAAAGGGTATTAGAATCCAAGGGGATAATTTCAAAGGGGAAAACTTGTAGTTTGGATTTGACCTGAAATTTTTACGTCTTTAGTCCAGTTTCTTTTCTGACACACTTTGTATATAACTGGACAGCTTCATTGCTGATCAGGCTTCATCTTCACCCAGTCGCTATGATCACGGTGTCCTTGATGAGGTAACACAAGGTCTCGTAATACTCAGCTACCGCCTATGTTATTTTCTTTATCTCTTTTGTGAAGTGTACTAAATAATATTGGCCAATGATTCCTGGTGGAAAGAACTTGAAGTGAAAATTTAAAGAAATCATTCTCATGTTTTGTACCCTCTTGTCTTTTTTCTTCAGTGGTGCTGTTCTTTTGGAAGGTTCCGTTACACTGGATTCTACAAAAATTAATGTAGGAATGAAATTCCAAGCTGGTGGGGAGAGTCATGTAACATTTCAGACAGATGTTGGTTTTGCAGAAATGCCAATTAAAAGTTGTATGCAAATGAGTCGGCCAAAAACCACCTTCATGTAAGTTGAATTCATTTTCCATTTGAAGCTTTTTCAATTCAATGGGTATTAAAATATTTTTTTATTTATTTTTTTTATTTTTTTTTATTTTTTTTTTTTTTTTTTTTTTTTTTTTTTTTTTTTTTTTTTTTATTTTATTTTATTTTTTTTTTTATTTTTTTTTTTTTTTTTTTTTTTTTTTTTTTTTTTTTTTTTTTTTTTTTTTTTTTTTATTTTTTTATTTTATTTTTTTTTTTTTTTTATTTTATTTTTTTTATTTTTTTTTTTTTTTTTTTTTGTGTTTGTTTTAAGATTTTTTGTGGCAAATATAGCTACTGTCTGAAAAGGAACCAGGATTTTCAACCAAAGAGCAATTACGAGATCTCATAGTTTGCCACTTCTCTATCTCCGTGTTAATGTTCTTGAAAGGAATAGAACTGTTTACTGAGATTACCTTATGTTTTCATTAGTATTTTAACCTAAAAGTAGAAATTTATTTTCTCATTCCAGGCACAAAATCATGAAACATGAAAAACTTTCCAGAAAGTTGTACCAAACAAAACTTATCCGAAACACCCATTACCCAGGTGTGTCATATTATTTAAATCGATTCAACTCTTATCAGTGCAATTTGATGCTGGATCCTCTTGTGTAATGAAACTCACCAACATAGAATTCATTTTATTTTTGTTCTATCTTTTGTGGGTGGGGGGGGGTCTCAATGCTTGCACTATTCTATATGGATTTCTTTTGTAACCAATTCTTGCTTCAAAATCTCTTCAGTTTATATGCACTGTTTAAATTTGCATATTATGAATGGAAATAATTATTATAAACTCATTCCACTATAAAATGAAAAAATATTTTAAGTATTGCAGAGCAGCATTTTTCTCATTGATAAAATAAAGCAATGAAGGGTAATGTTTAATTTCTATCATATACAGTTTAATTTCTTTCCTCCTTTTCCATCTGGAATAAGGCAAGTATTGATTCTTTTGTCTTCTGTTTCTTTGTTTGACTTGTCTGTGAATTTTTTCAAAGTATAAAGAGTTTTATTAAAACTCCTTTAAAAATCAATTTGTTTAGCCAAAGAGCAATTTTTGTGAGGAGATGCAAAAATGACCTTTCATCAAAGGCTGGTAAGTGCCCAGAAGTAATTATGGACAATTTATAATGAACATGACTGAATAATTGAAACCATGGTCCGTTTCAGCTCACTATAGAAACCAAATTGCTATTCCCTCTCAGCTGAAAGTTATGTCTGATAACTCCCAGCAAAAGTAAGCTATAGTCTTTCTTCCCCTGGCACAAACTTTTGGTGGGAGCAATAGTCTCATTCCAAGTGGATCCCAGAATCCACAAATATTAATGAATCTTGTGTGTGTGTGTGTGTCTCTCTCTCTCTCTCTCTTTGTCTCTGTCTCTCTCTCAACACGCTTTTTGATACTTGTAATTAGACATGCTTAGTTTTTATTGCAATGTCTGAGTTGTTTCCCTTGCATTTGCCATTTATATTAAAGTTTAACAAGCCTAAGAAAAATTAACATATGCCCTTTATATTTATATATATATATATATATAATATGTACACACACACACAGCATACATAAAATAGTAACAAGTAAAATATAACAATCATAATTAGATACTATATTTTGTGGTGGAGTGATTTATTATTTTTCAGCAAACTTGAACATTCATGCCTACAAGAAATGCAGTGTGAAAAGGACAGTTTTTCCATGGACACTGCTATTATTTTAACTACCTTCACTCTTTGGCAATGTTTATTCATTTGAAAAGCTAGGATTAGAATTGTAATAAAACCCAAGAATATGAAAGTGAACTTACACATTTTCTTTGTTTTTGATAATTGACAAAAATAACACTTTATTAGATTGTTTATTGAATGCTTGGCAAAACACGAATTGCTAAGCAATTCGAATTTTATAAAATGGTAAATAAGGATTTCTTTATAGTTGGTTCACATAATTTAATAATTTAGTAAATTTTTATAAATTTATGAATAAATTTTCATATTTATTCTTTTATAAATTGGTAAATGATAAATATTGCATTAGATTTTAGAATGATGTAAGTATAAAATTATTCTTGTGAATCAAATAAATAAATAGTATTTAATATTTTTTGTTGTAAATTCTCAAGAACAAAAATTTTTTTTTTTTTTAATATATGTTTAGGTTTTATTACAATTCTAATCATAACTTTTTAAAACAGACATTTCTGGGGACTGCTGGTTGTTTAAATACTCGTGTCAATGAAAAACCTTCCTTTTGACATTCCATTTTTTTTTTTTTTTTTTTTTTTTGTTGCCAGGATGAAGACCCAAGTTTGCCAATTTTTCTGTGAACTTCCACATGACTACTCTTGCTTATTGGGACCATTATTAAAATTTGCAAAATATTCTTATGATTGACCAAAAAGCCAAATTGGTAGGGGTGAGGGCACCACTGCACAGAGGTGAAGTTGATGCTATTAGTCAAACATTAGCCAACTTATTTTACACCTTTGACAACAGTTTAACTTGAATACCAAAATTAGTCATTGCTTCACAATGTCTTCCAACCAAGTTTATGCAATCTCTGCTTTTTAAAATATTGAAAACAATTTGCAGACATAGCAATTGGTTAACTTTAAAATGAAAAGTTCTGAAGAGGGAACATTTATTTTGTGCTAAAACTCATCTGCTTCTTATAAAGTCATCAATTCATTCCTTATTAACTTGTTTATTATTAGACTTGAGATATATCTACTATCAGTGGGAACTTGTGGCTAAAGTCAGTGGGGGTGCTGCTTCAGAAAATTTTTAGCCATTGTGTTAATATTGTGTAAAACAAAAATTTATATATAAACTAAATCCTAAACAAAAAAATTACTTTTTACTTCTAAATTGTTACAGTTCAAGCTTGATCCATTCATTTAAAAATGAAATCTTTTTTGTTCTTTTCTCCTTGATCCTTGGATGACTAAGGAAATTTTTCTCCATTAAAAGCACTGCAAGTGCATTTAGTCTTTCAGGATTCTTAGAAAAGTTTTATTCTTTTTCACTGTAGAAAAGCAGCATTCTGGCTCTGATGTAGTCATGAGAATTATCAAGAGAATTTTTATCAGTTTCATAATTTCACTAAGAACGCCCTCTAGATTATTTTTCAATATAAATTTCTGCAGCTTAAATAATTTGCAATATTCATGCATATCTGATCTACAATAGAATATTTCAGTTTCAAACTTTTGTTTGTCAATCATGGGATATGCTTCATTAGTCAGTGCCTATCTCTTCTGTGGGCAGTTCATTCTTAAAACTAGTAAAACATTTAAAACCAGATGAAAGTTTGACATTTATTTCAAATATTATTATATGCTATAATGTTTTAAGCAATAAAATCTTTATATTAAAAATAAATCCATTAATTCTTTGATAGAATAATTTAAAAATTTTTTTAGTAAACAGTCCATTTATTTATAAAACAGTATATTTATCTTCTACCAGCCTGAATATTCAAGAATTTTTTTATTTTTTTTTCCTTAACAAATTACCAGGGAGCACATAATCTTCTTTTAATAAGATTTCTTGAATGTTCAGGCCAGTAGACGAATGTGTGTGTATACAGACATACATACATACATTGCTGAAATGTTCTCCACCCCCACCAAGAACAAAATGAGTCTGAGCCCTGAAGCACAAATGCTATTCCACAGACACTTTTCATTTTGGTCATTGATTGTTGGGAATTGGGTTGATCTGAAGTTTCCTATTCCCTTCAATTCAAGGGAGATAATCACCATACAACCACATTTGCTTAACGTTTACATGTAAAACCGTATGTTTCTGAAATTTTCTGTCAAAATCTTAGCACACGTTTTAGTATTTTGTTGATTAGCATTTGGGTGTCCTGAGATGTCTAACTCAACTCAATTTTGCTCCCCCTGCTGAAGAGAAATAGAAAAGATGTTTTAATAAGGCAAAAATGAAAGGCTTGATTGGTTAAATAAGATTCTTTACTATTGAACCTTATTTTTCATTTCACAGCTATATGCTTCAGTAGAAATTATACAAGTCCTATTGCTATAGACTGGAAAATATGCTTAACATTTTGATATTAACTTAGAACTTTTGACAATCAAAGATCTCAGATTTAACTAATAATTTGCAGGAATCTTTATATTTTATTTTCAAAACGCATTTTAAATCTTTAAGCAAGAATTTAAATGTCTTATTAGATTAAGTGTTTCAAATGACTTTGTCATTTAATGAAATATTTGACTTCAAGTACTTGCAAGGCTTATGGCCATACCATGTTGAAACAATCACTGAATTTAAACAATCAAGTTTGGTCAGTACCTAGATAGGTGACACTTGGGAATACCAGATGCTTTAAGCTTGTATGTGCAGATGGGGTAATGGATAATGGCTTTGACTCGAGCTGTCTCGGTTCCAGTCAGGTTTGTTATATTCACTTGTGTGCAAATACCCTTGGGAAATTGATGAATCCATCTTTACTCACGCCAGGTATGGGTTAATTAGTATGACGTGTATCAGTAAATCATTATCTCACCAAAATTCTTACTATCTAAAAATATTCTTTGGCTTTAAATAACCTGCAAAAAGATTGTCGTAAAATAAAATAAAAAAAATATCAATGAAGTATATGAGGTCTGTCTGGAAAGCAACAGGACTGGTGTTAAAAACAATTTCTTTAAATTCCAAACAACAGTTTCCCCTTCAATTGAATCCCCCTCGAGTCTAATGTACTTTTCCATCTTTCTGTCACACTTCTATCCACTACTGGAAGGATTCTTCTTGGATGTCCCTCAGCTCTGTCATTAACTGCACTTTTGATAGCCTCCATGCTTTCAAAACATGTCCTTTTGATGAATCCACTTGAGCTTGGAGGAGAAAGAAGTCACACCAAACAAGATCAGGTGAATAGAGAGGTTGTTGCAGTATGGCAAGGTTCTTCTCAGTCAGAAACTGCTGGATACTCAAGGTGTTGTGAGCAGGTGCATTGTTGTGGTGAAGCAGTCACAATTTGCCCTGCCACAAAGGAAATAAACGCAGTGGTTGCAGAAAGCTAGCATTAGTTATATACTCCCAAGATATGTTAGAATATGTTTATCCCTCTTTCACCCAAAGCTCACACAGCACACCCAGTTTCTTACTTTTACAGATAGACATCGTACGCAATGGAATTTGATCAAAAGCTTGGCCTCCAAGTTTAGGTTTCCTATCTCTTAACTCTGTAAGATCAAAGCTTTCAAGAATAAAGTCATTTTGAAATTTTTTTTTTTTTTTTTTTTTTTTTTTTCTTTTCTTCCCAGGTTATCAGCACTTCTTCTGTTTCTTTAAAAGTTTCCTTTGGGTCAATAAGTGATGGGCCATGATTTAATTTTAGAATTAAGCTTTTTTTTTTTTTTTTTAAATCCACAATTTCTCCTTTTGCTTCAGTTTTTTTTCTTCTGCTTAAAATCTGTCATGATTTTGTCAGATTGTTATTCCAGTTATATTTGTATGTTATTTCTCAAAGAAATAAATCTGTTGATCAAAGTTTCACTTAATGATGAAACTGACCTTGGGAACTGCTAGGTTTTGGCCTTGTGCCACCTTCTGATGCTGCAATTATTGTGTGCATTTGTAAT